CGTGACAACCCCTCCACTTTACGATGACGAGCACAAAGAGAACTTTCGAAAATTTAACAGGTACTGTGTCATTTTTCAGTGACTTGTTAATTTTGTTATTATGTATTGTTATTTTCGACGCTGGTATGGCTGCCCTAAAATCTAAGACCCCAACTGCAGGCCCTTTCATTGTGATCATCATCATCATTTATAACTTTATGGCTTCTTTTTTGATACGGTTTTGCAAACTAAAACCACACACTCAGAAAACTGAAGATACCGTAATTACAACTGCAATAACAGCTCGTTTTCATCTATTTTGGAACACTTCGCTGTAGTCATTAAACAATAATGTGAACACATCAATGAAACAAAGCTGTCTTAATTCGTACAGGATAAACTTGAGTTGCTGGCATTAGATGCAGAGCTTTTCAAAACTAATTACGACTCTGGATTTAACCATCACCCATGTCACGCCCAAAATGACCACCAAGTGCTTCCATTTCTGGTATTCCGAAGTCTTGCTAGTTCGTTTGTCTTGTGGCAATTTCTTGGGATTGAGTAGGACATCTAATGAAGTTAGAACAGTTATTTGATGCTTTTGAAACTGCGTTGCAAGGTGTGATGCTGTGCTTCTAAGAATTCACATTGGGTGTTGTTAGTGAACGCATGAATGTTGATTTTGGCTGCATAGTTAGTTGAACTATATGATAAGTTTGCTGGTCAAAGAATCGATGAACTGTGCTCCATGTACACCGGTATACAGAGTTTTCAATAGCTGTTGTAAACTCAGTATACGTGTAGTGGACAAAACCATGGGAGCAATTGTGGTACAAATCGATATTATCACTTTTAAATAACAAATTCAATCTATCCTTCAGTGCTAACACATCTTTCAGTAGTTTTTTTAGCTCCGCTGTCGACTTTGTCGAGCGGAGCTTATCATATGAGTGATTGTCCGTCGTCCGTGTCAATGTTTTACTTTTTCGACTTCTTCGTTGAAAACTACAAGCCTGGATGCTTTGATACTTGGTGTATTTGTAC